GATCGCTTGAGAGACGCTATCTCCTGCTAGCTGTTTTTCATTTATCCACACCAATAAGAGTCTCTCAACATCTTCCATCACTTGCGATCTCTGTTTCGAAAACACAGTTAAACCTTTGGCAAGAACAGCTTCCTTGATTGCCGTTTTCTTGGACACAATAGTAACGATGGTTGATTGGGGTTTACTATACAACCTGGCCAGCTCGGAGACACGCACTCCACTTTCATACTTATCAATGATCTCTTTCTTCATCTCTATAGTAATTGAGCGGGTTTTTGAGCGGTATGCGAGGCAAAATTTTTGCGATAAAAGCGAGCGGTATGCGGATTAAACGTTATGTGATGCCGACGGTATGCGGGGGTCCACTGTATTTCAGAACACCAATACGCAAGCAGGACTGACGATACAAGGAATGCCTGTGTACAACATCGCAATTCACACAACCATTTAATTAACTACAGAAACTCAAGACTTATCACCACAGAAGACAACACTCAATACCGAAGAATCCTGGAATCATCGCTTATCTCTATAACCAACATTTTCAACCAGAACAATGGCTTCTGTAACATAGCTGAACCACTTGCCAAGAAACTTCTTCATCGCTATCCCACATAAGAACATAGAACACTGCAGAAGGTCTACTCACAACTTGTCCTATACCCCTGCCAAGCTACCCAAGACTCTATAACCCCACCCGGGTGATCAATCAGATTTCAGCTTCTCCACCCGACCTCAGCAACCTGACTATAAATACTCCCGTACCTTCCACCCCAGGTAGATCTGTTTGTGACTTGAAAAAGCCCACTGTGTGGGCGAAACGTTGTCAATAAAGGACCACATTAAACTGCATATGTGTTTATGTTTCCATTGTGTCGGTATTTTATACCATTTATTTTCATAAAAAGATTAACATGAAAAGGGGTTATGGGCAAAACCTTAGCATGACCAGAGATTTAAAAGTGCTCAGTAGGAGGTACTGGTACGTACCTTGTAAGGAAAAGGGATTAAAATCCATTCTAAGTTGAATAAGATCCAGAAAGATCAATATGAATAGGAGATAATGGCTCCTCATTTTCATTTATTGTGATCCAGGTCTAAACCTGTGCAATTTTAATTATTTTTGTCCTATACAATTAGTAGACAATTACCAGTAGCATGACTAGTCAGCTATTTGGGTAGCAGATGGGAGGTTGAGCCTCAACCACGCCTTAAACTGAATTATTCACATAGGATTAGTTCTTCATGGAACAGTCTATAATACATACAGTTCTCCACCATGTTGAATGGTGGTATTTATATGATAATGTATCATATAAATACTACCATGTATTCATAAAAATTTATGAAACAATATTTTTTTTTTCAACGAACTGGCTGTGTCCCACTGAAGCGGGGTGACCTAGAAAGAAAAGCGAGTTTCTCTTTTTAAATTATGTAATGTATACAGGAGAAGGGGTTACTGGCCCCTTGCTCCTGGCATTTTAGCTGCCTCTTACGACATGCGTGGCTTATGGAGGAAGAATTTTGTTCCACTTTCCAATGGAGAAATCAACATATGTTACCTATAAGAAAGGCAAAAAGGAAATTGAATAAGAACATAAAGACAGCCATATTTTTTTAACACAATGGTTGTCTCCCACCGAGGTAGGGTGACCTCGTAAAGAAACACTCCAGATCTTTCTCTCCATCACTAAACTCCAAATACAGTGGACCCCCACCTTACGATATTAAAATCCGTTCCTGAGAGCTCATCGTAAGCCGAAATTATTGTTAGCCAAATTAATTTTCCCCATAAGAAATAATGGAAATTAAATTAATCTGTTCCTGACACCCCAAAGTATGAAAAAAAAAATTTTTACCACATGAAATCTTAATTTTAATACACACAAACTGAAGAAGACATGCACAATTACTACTCTGCTAAGAATAGAATATATGACACTTACCTTTAATGAAGATCTGGTGATGATTGATGGGATGGGAGGGGGGGAGGGTGTTGAACTTATTGTTTAGAAGGGGAATCCCCTTCCATTATGACTTGAGGTATCAAGTCTTTTTCCAGGGTTCCCTTCTTCTTTTAATGCCACTAGGACCAGCTTGAGAGTCACTGGACCTCTGTTGCACAACAAATCTGTCCATAGAGTTCTGTACCTCCCGTTCCTAAGACTTCCCTAAAATGGGCCATAACATTGTCATTGTACAGGTTGCCAACAAGGCTTGCAGTAACTGTTTCAGGGTGATTTTCATACGTAAAGGTTTGCAGTTCAACCCGCTTTGCACACATTTCCTTAATCTCTCTTTTCAATTCCATACTAATTCTTGCCCTTTTTACCACAGGGATGGCACTAGAAGCTTTCTTTGGGTCCATGGTGACTTATTTTGTAGATAAAAGCACTAAAAACACTGGGATAATGTGAAATGTACCAAATGTATGCGTAGATGCGACTGCATTGACTGGCTTGTAAACACTGGTGCTGAGGCCACACGTGGGACACATTCCGGATGAATCACATAAGGCGAGTTTTTTATCGTGAGGCGAAGCAAAATTTTTGCGTTCAATTGCTTCGTATGGCGGATTTAACGTAACGCGATGCGTTCATAAGGCAGGGGTCTGCTGTATAATCACTATTCCTTCAGAGTACAAGCACTGTACTTCCCACCTCCAGGATTCAAGTCTGGCTAACTGGTTTTCCTGATTCTCTTCACAGAATCTTACCTTGCTCACTCTTCAAAAGTGCATCATGTCCCAAAAACCATTTACCTCCACTCCTATCTAACATGCTCTCACACACCTGCTAGGCATCCAAGCCCTTTGCACACAAAACCTCCTTTACTACCTCCCTACAACGTATTTGCTCCATCCTCTCTAAATGTCCGAGCCACCTCAACAACCCCTCCTCAGTCCTCTGGTAAATACTTTTAGTAACACCACACCTCCTCCTCATCTCTAAGCTACGAAATCTCTGCATAATATTTACACCACATGACATCTCCACTTTCTCCAGCTTCCTCCTTGCTGTAGCTTTCACAACCCGTGTTTCACACCCATATAAAAGCGTTGGTACCACTGTACTCTCATACATTCTCCTCTTTGCCTCTATAGATAATGTTCTTTGTCTCCACAGATGCCTCAGTCCACCACCAGCCTTTTTTCCTTCATCAGTTCTATGGTTCACTTCGCCTTTCACGTACCTATCCACCAAGAAATCCACTCCCAATTATCTGAACACATTCACTTCCTCCATACTTCCTTGCGCTACCGGAACAGGTCAAGGATCCCAAGACAGCTTATAAATTTACGACTTTGCTAAAAAATGATCTTATTACACAATATTAACCAAATCAACCAAACATCTGCTAATTAGTCTTATCATGTGACCTCCTGGCTTTTATTTCTGCCATTCCATAAAATATTACCACCTGCACCATTACTTGTAAGTTAGATTTTGTATTAAGTTTACCTAAGATTTATTAAGTTCAAATAAGATTGTAAAACAGCTAACCACTATTCCATGTTTAGTTTTAAGTATAATTACTATGTACTATTATCCTAACCAGTTTTAATTAGTTACTATGTATTAGGATTAGCTTGCCCGAAACGCTTCGGCATGATAGTGGTTATCCTTGTGCAGTGGACCCCCGGTATTCGATATTAATCCGTTCCTGAGAGCTCATCGAATACTGATAATATCGAGAACCGAATCAATTTTTCTCATAAGAAATAATGGAAATCAAATTAATCCGTGCAAGACACCCAAAAGTATGAAAAAAAAAAATTTTACTACATGAAATATTAAGTTTAATGCAATAGAGTAATTACAATAACAATAAAATAATTGACACTTACCTTTAATGAAGATCTGGTGATGATTGATGGGATGGGAGGAGGGGAGAGGTGTTTGTGTTTAGAAGGGGAATCCCCTTCCATTAGGACTTGAGGTAGCAAATCCTTTTCTGGGGTTACTTCCCTTCTTCTTTTAATGCCACTAGGACCAGCTTGAGAGTCACTGGACCTCTGTCACACAACAAATCTGTCCATAGAGCTCTGTACCTCCCGTTCCTTTACGATTTGTCTAAAATGGGCCACAACATTGTCATTGTAATAGTCACCAGCAAGGCTTGCAGTAGCTGTGTTAGGGTGATTTTCATCCATAAAGGTTTGCGCTTCAACCCACTGTGCACACATTTCCTTAATTTTTGAAGTAGGCACAATGGAGTCCACAACTGGCATAGGCTTCTCAGGGTTAACCCCAAACTCTTCAGAATCTTTATTAATTTCCATACTAATTCTCACCCTTTTTAACCACAGGGTTGGCACTAGAAGCTTTCTTGGGGCCCATGGTGACTTATTTTGCAGAAACAAGCACCAAGCACAGTGATAATATGGATAATATGGAATGTACCGAATGTATCCTTAGATGCGCGCACACTGGCTGGCTTGTAAACACTGGCACACACGGGGCAGTTCAGGCCACACGTGGACAGGTCTCGTACGAATGGTATCGAATACTGAGGAAATTTTTTTGCGATATAATGCATCGAATATCGGATTTATCGAATACCGATGCCATCGAATACCGGGGGTCCACTGTACTTAGCAAATCAAAATTGTAATTGCACATTGTAAACTTTATAAAGAAATAAACTTTGTTTGTTTATTTATTTATTTATTTATTCTTCCAATCTGATACCCAATCTTTCATTACCTAACTTGTTTGTTATCCTTCATCACCTTTAATATCCTTCTTTTACGTATCCTCCCAAATTTATCCACCAGCCTTTGCTTCTTCTCTTCAGAATATCCTAAAATTAGTGTCATCAGCAAAAAGCAACTGTGGCAATTCCCCATTTGTATTAGATTCCGTGGAATGTAAGGATGGTCTTGCATACCTGTGTGTTATTGTAACTTGCCTAATTAATTATACTATTTTACTCCAATTTAAATCTTTGATCATTAGATAAAAATGTATAATTGTTTTATTATAATTTATTTTCAGCCAAATCAGTGACAAGGGGTGCTTGTTAACCCTTTCACTCACTGCATCAGTACATGTTGGGACCTCATCAGATGTGATATCCTACGAGAGACGGATTAAAAGTCTTGAGTCGGAAAATAGAGAATTATTGAAACTAGCAGATAGAATAGATGGAAGTCCAGGTTCAGCTACTGAAGAATTGAAAAAATTAGTTGATCAGGTGCAAGTTCTTACCACGCAAAATCAAGGTTAGTAAAAAAAAAAATGGTTTTCCTAGTTTAATCCTTTCACTGTCTCCCATGTAGTGCTGTTATTGATTCCTGTGTAGCTCCAATGATCGCTTTTTTGATCACAGCAACTTCAAATTGTGAAAAAGTAAATTTTGGCCTATACATGAGAAAAGGGGTCGGCAGTATAAAAAAAAACCTGCCCACACAGTGAAGAGGGAAAAGAACCCTCTTACTGGTGTTTGAGTTAAAATAGCACTTTGAGGTGTTTCTGGGTTGTTTTTTAGGGTTTTTATTGACTGTTTCTTGTTATCAATCAATAGAATGGAAAACATGTTTGGTTGATTTAAAACCGGAAATATTTGAAAATGGCTCAAAGTATAGGGGAAATATTCATTTTTTTTGAAAATTTTTCCAAGGAAGGCTAACCTCTATCTTTGTCTGTTTTAAACCCCTTTGATTTTTTTTTTTTTTTTTTTTTCCAAAAAGTCGGCCGTTCCCCCCGAGGAGGGTACCAAAAAAGAAAGAAATCCCCAAAAAGAAAATACTTTCATCATCTTTCAACACTTTACCACACTGAAATTTACTTTTTTTTGCAGGGGTGCTGAAACAACAGTTTAGAAGCATACAAAATTTAAAGATAACAACTATCCCCCAAAGCCAATACCCAAACCCCCTTTAAAGTGCAGGCATTGTATTTCCATTTCCAGGACTCAAGTCCGATATATGAAAATAACCGGTTTCCCCCTGAATCCCTTCAAAAAATATTACCCTGCTCACCTCCAACGATCGTCAGGTCCCAATTACCATTCGTCTCCATTTCACCCCTACTAACAGCTCCGCACGTTTGCGGAAGCCAAGCCCCTTACCCACAAAACCTCCTTTACCCCTCTCCAACCCTTTCGAGGACGCCCCCCTCCCCCGCCTTCCTTCCCCTATAGTTTATATGCTTTCCATGTCATTCTATTTTGATCCATTCTCTCTAAATGCCCAAACCCCACCTCACAACCCCTCTTCTGCCCTCTAAAATATTTTTTAAACCCACACCTTCTCCTAATTTCCACACTCCGAATTTTTGCAAAATATTTACACCAACATTGCCCTTAAACGGGGACATCTCCATGCCTCCAACCTCCCCTCGCTGCTGCATTTACCACCCAAGCTTACCCCATATAGAGGTTGGTACTCTATACTTTCATACATTCCCTTCTTTGCCTCCATAGATAAAATTTTTTTGACTCCACATATCCTCAACGCACCACCCCCTTTTTTTCCCCTCATCAATTCTATATTAACCTCATTTTCAAAAAATCCATCCGCCACACGTAACTCCCAAGTATCAAAAATTTCCCACTTTTTCCCAACTCCTCCTCCCCAATTTGATATCCAATTTTTTTTTATCAAAATCATTTGACACCTCACCCCTTTATCTTTTCTATTTTTTTTTCACTTTAACTTTCTACCTTAACACATTCCAAACTCTCCACTAACCTTTGAAAATTTTTTCTTTAGAATCCCCAAAACACAGTATCATCAGCAAAAAGAAAACTGTGTCAATTCCCTTTTTTGAATTTGTTTCCCCAAATTTAATCTCACCCCTCTCCCAAACACCCAGCATTTATTCCCTTTACAACCCCATCTAAAAATATTAAAAACAACCATGGTGACTTAACACCCCTGTCTAAGACCTCTTTTAAACCCGGGAAGTAGTCTCCCCTCTTCTACACACCCTAACCTGGCCTCACTACCCAAAAAACTTTTTACGCATTTAAAACTTACCACCTATTCCATATATTTCAACATTGCCACATTGCTTTCCCCTATCCACTCTATCATATGCCTTTTCTAAATCCTAAATGCAAAAAAAATTCCCTATCTTTTTCTAAAAAACTGTTCACATATATGCTTCAATGTAAACACCCGATCTAACATCCCCCACCCACTCTGAAAACCCCTTGTCATCCGCAATCCCACATTCTGTCTTACCTCTAATTCTTTCAAAAATAAACCCCACCCTCACTTTTCCTGGATACTCTAAGCTTATTCCTCTAAATTTTTCAGTCTCTTTTTTCCCCTTTCCCTTTTAAAAGGGACTATACATGCTCTTGCCAATCCCCAGGGCCTTCCCCTCTTTCATAATTTATTAAAAAAAAAGTACCCAACCACTCCAACACTATATCCCCCCTGCTTTTAACATTTCTGTCATACCCACAGTTCCAGTGCTTTACCCCCTTTTATTTTCGTAATGCCTCACGTACCCCCCCACACTTCTTCTGTCTTCTTTACTCCCAAAAGATGGTATACCCCTGACCAGTGCATGAAATTACTGCCCCTTTTTTCTTCCTTAAAATTTAAAAGTTCCTCAAAAATATTCTGCCATCTACCCAATACCCCCATTCCCCATCACTAACTCCCCACTCTGTTTTTAACTGGGCAAATCCATATTTTCCCTAGGGGTTTCTTAACTTGTTTAACCACTCCAAAAATTTTTTTTTTTTTCTTAAAATTTTTTTGACAGTCCCCCCACCTATCATCTGCTCTCCTTTTGCACTCTTCCCCCCATCCTTTACCTTTTTTTTACTTCCCCATTTTCCCCCTGTTTCTTTTTCATTCTGCTTTGTAAAAACCTCTATAAGCACCTTTTTCTCTTTTATCACACCTTTACTTCATCATTCCACCAAACACTCCTCTTTCCTTGCCCCCCCCCCCTATAACCACAAACTTTGCCCCACATTCTAAATACTGCATTTTTTTAAAATATTCCCATCCCCCTTAAAACCCCCCCACTACTCATCTTTGCACTAGCCCCCCTTTCTGCCCAAAAGTCGCTTATATCTCACCGAAATTCCCCTCCCTTGTTTATACACTTTCACCCCCCCTCTACTTGTTGTTGCACCTTCCTCTTTTCCACTACCCTTACTTAACTGTACTACAACTAAATAATGCCGATATATCGTTGCCCCCCTATAAAAATGTAATCGGAGCCACCCATCAACCTTTTTTTCCACCCCAAAACAAATCTAAAAAAATACTTTATTACGTGCTACTCAACCTTTTTATATTTATTTTTTCTCTTTTTCTAAAATATGTATTACTTATTACCAAATTTCTTTCTAACTAGCTCAATTAAAGGCCCCCATTTACATTTACCCCCGGCACCCCAAATTTACCTACTACTCCTTTCCCTAACTTTTTACCCACTTTAGCATTGAATCCCCAACCACCATTACTCCACATTGATTCAAAACTCCCCACGCATTCACTCAACATTTCCCCCAAAACTCTCTCTCTCCTTACACTTCCTCTTTCCAGGGCATCACGCTTTTTTATAAACCCCTTTTCACATCCAAACTTTTTTTTTACTCCACTAATCCTTGAATTAATACATTTAAGTCCCTCTTTCCCGCCATGCTTATCCTTTCAAAATTATTGCACTCCTTCTTTTGACTGTTTACGCTATATAAATACGTCTTACGCGCCACTGTTTCTGACATATATATACTCAATAATTCTAGCGGCTTCAAATCAAGCGGGAGAAAGCTGGTAGGCCCACATGTGAGAAAATGGGTCTGTGTGGTCACTGTGCACCACATAAAAAAAATCCTGCAGCACACAGTCCGTAATGAGAAAAAAAAACTGATCGTTTTTTTGCATTAAAGCGCCGACTTTGAGGTGTATTTTTGTATAGTATTTATTGTTGTATTCGCGTTTTCGTGGTCTTAATTGATAAAATGGAAAACATATTACAGAAATAGAGATGATTTTCATTACTTTGACGATGAAAAAGACCTTGAAACTGAGCTCAAAGTAGCGGAAATGTTCGATTTTTACCAATGTTCAGGAGTAAGCAAATCACACCACACGTCCAATACACGTCAACTGGGGAGTCTAATATTCTTTCACTAGTGCACTGATATTATTTATACCATTTTTACAATAATGCAGTAGTCTGCATAACAGTAAATTTTGTATTTTTTTATATGAATAAAAAATCAAAATAGAAAACAATAATAATATAAGAGGGGCCTAGAGATGTGACTAATGAACAGAGGATATGGTATTTTAGTGCCAAGAATGTCTACCTTGTTTATTCTGGACCCTATTTTGAAATTGGCATCTTTTTTATTTTGCGTGAAATTGGCCAAATTGCCAATTTCTGACCACTATGTTTGGTAGTTCAAATTGGTAAATGGGCAGTTTCTTGTACTCAGCTGATAGATAACAGATATCCGTTGAGTTGATTGAAGAATAGTGTTCTTTGAAGAATGTCGCACTACACTCTGTTGGATCGCAACACTTCGTTGTTGCACTGTTCATCAATAATTGTTCACACAATATCACTAAGAAGTTGATCACACTTCTCTGTAAGTGTTTATCGTGTTTTGTGAGACACTTTGTTCACTCTAACGCACAGATCGTTCTTTGTTGGTTATCCTGGCGTCAGTGTCACTCTCAGTAGAGTCGAAAGTAATCTCAAGACGCCACAGCATCCCACGCCATTACTCCCCTAGCACAAAGGAAAAGCTGACCTAGTACTTTTTACTTCCTTGCCACTTCCTTGATGAAGCAAAGCAGAATGTTTGATTCTTGCTGTCTTAACCCTTTGAGGGTCGACAGGCCCTCTCCGAAACTCGTTCTCAGGGTCGGCCAAATTTAAAAAAAAAAAAAAAAATTCTTTTCCCGATCATAAGGACACCAAAAGTTTGAAATTTGATGGAAAACTTACGGAATTATGCTCTCGCGAAGTTAGCGGTCTCGGCGATGTTTACTCATCGGCAATTTTGCCCACTTTGAGCCCCATTTTCGGCCAATTCCACTGTACTAGTCGACAAAAAACATGAATATTTCGCTAGAACTCAATTTTTTCTATCGAATGGGTGCAAGAAACCACCCATTTATGAAATTCAACTATCCAGTACAGTGGTCATAATTTAGCAATTTTGCCAATTTCACACAAATTTCAAAAGATGCCAATTTCCGAATAGGGTCCAGAATAAACAAGAAAGACATTCCTGGCTCTA